GGACGGGGCGGAGCCTGGGGCCTGGGGCCAGGGCGGGGCCGAGGCGGCCGGACAGGGGCCGGGGGGGCGGGAAGCGTACCGCCAAAGACTGGGCTCCCCCTCCCACCCGCTACGCGCTGATTCTCAAGTGTCCTCTCCTCAACCCGGGGTGGCGGAGGGCCAGGGCCCGGAGACCCGCCCCACGCGCGACCCAGGGGCAGCCCCCTCCCGGCTGGACGCCGGCGGGGGAAACGGGGGACGAGGGGAGGGTCCGGGGGGACGGCATCCGAGCCGCTCCGGCGCCTGAGAACGCTCCACTCCGAAGCCTGGTGAGTTCAGCCCCCGGAATCCGGCTCTACCGAGCGTCCGACGCCCCTGAGTCCGGATTCCCCGGCCTCGCATCCGACCCTCGGACCTGAGCCGCAGCCCGCGGGGCGGGACCGACCGGCCGCAGCCCTTGCCCGGCTCCCCGCTCCCGCCCCGCCTCCGCCCCCGGGCGCCCTCTGGCGGACCCACGCGGAACTTCGCAGACCTGCGCGGTGACAGCTCGGGCGGGGGTGGGGGGGCGCGGGAGGGGGTCCCCCGGACCTGGGCGCGCCATCCAGCTTCGTCCCGAGCCTGGCGTCCTCCGCGTGCCGTCGTCCTCGCCTCCGCCGCCAGCGCCGGCGCTGCTCTGGCCCTTTAAGAGAGCAAAGCCCACTTTCAGGCGGAGTGTAGGTCCAGGGGGCACCACGGAGCCCGCACCTTGACCCAGCCCTGTCCAAAGCAGGACAGCCTCCCCTGGGGCAGAATCGGGGTCCTGAGGCCCCTGCTGAGATGGGAAGGGGGCTCCAGCCTCCCTTAAGGAGAGGGCAGAAAGGGAGGGGCCTGAAGGCCCCAAGCCGGTTCCAGCTCAGTATCTGCTGTGATCCCAGACAGGCCACTTTCCCTGAGCCTCTTGTCCTCATCTGGATGGGTTTGCAAGGAGAATGAACGCACTGGACGCTTCTCTCTGCATGGAGCATGACCCCGGAAAGAGTTGCTGAGGCGAAGACAGGACTGGAGAAGCCAGGTTCCCCTTCCATTCACCCCCCCACACCCACCTGGAGGCCTATGTTCCTATGGCAGCTTTGGGTCTCCCTTCAGGCTCTTCCCAGGGTCAGAGAAGAGGGCTAAGTCTGTGCACACTATCTCTGCTGGGAGGGGAGGGATGGGGAACCAGCAAGGAGTGGACTTGCCTGGTGACGGGGCAGCCTGTGGGGGCATTGAACCCGGGAGTCCTGGTCTTCAGCGTGGCTCCTAAGCTTCCACCAGGCCCCAGTCAAAGCTTCGGTGGCCAGTGGCCCTGCAATGAAAGGTCTGAGGCCTCACAGAAGAGTCCATTCCCTTGCATGGTAGCCTCTGGCCAGAAGGCACTCCCATCCCCAGAATGGGGATTCCATTTCTAAAGCCAAGCAGTATGCCCCACCTGACCCATCCCGGAGTCATCCCAGAGCCTCTGCCCATCCTATTGGTCACAGGGGCTTCCAAATTCTTCTCTGGCCTCAAATCTCCTTCTCCTCCTCTGAATGCATTCACACCTCCCACTGTCCCCTTCCTCCTTCCCCAGTCCATCCAGTGACCCATCCTGTCACTGACTCCCTTGCCCGTGGGGTCTCCCATCATCCCTGCCCAGGAAAACCCTATAACCGTCTTACTTTTCAGCACGGTGGGACTACTGCTGACTCAGGATTTCCACTCTCAACTGGACTCTCGCCAGGCCCAACGGGCCAGTTTCCCTTGCTCCTGCCCCCTCTCTGTGGCACGTCCCAGCTTCTGAAGCCCCCACTCCAGCAAGGATCTCCCTGCTACTTTTTGGAGAAAAGAGAACCCTCACCTGGGAGCTCTCATTTCCAGCGTCCCAGCCTCCGCCAAGCCTGCCTCAGCTCTCACTGCCTGGTATAAGGGAAGAGGCGCCCCCTCCTCACCCTCCTCACGGTGGAACAGCCCCGAAGCTCCAAATGCCATCCCCTTGCCCTTCCTGGATCATCAGCCTTCCTCTCTTCTGGGTGCTTCCTTGACATTCCAAAGGACTTAAATCTCCCCCAGCTTAAAATAAGAAAACAGCCACATCCTTATCTCTCTCTCCCTCCCGAACCTGCTCCAGGTCTCCCTTCCTCATCTCCCATCATGGCTTGACACACACCAAGGCTGCTCTAGCCGAACTGCTCCTGCTAAGACCAGGGTCCTCCTGGCCACTCCCCTCAACGCTCATTGCCTCCTCATCCAGAGGGCTCCCTTCAGCATCTGGCCACATGGGCCACTCTGTCTTTCTGGAAAACCGACTGTCTCCACTGCCCATTTGGACCCCAATTCCACCTGTTCTTGGTTGTTGTTTTTTTTTTTTAGGTAAACTCTACACGCAGTGTGGGGCTCAACTTCACGACCCTGAGATCAAGAGTCACATGCTCTATCAACTGAGCCAGCCAGGCGCCCCAAGATTCCACCTGTTCAACATAGAACCCCAACCTTTCCCCCAAACATGCTCCCCCTCTGTTGGCCTCCCCAGTCTAGAGAACGGCACCTCGGCCACCAGGTCCCTCGAGCTGGAGAGCCCGTGTCCCCAGTGACAGGTCCCTCTTTCAGCCCACTCCATCACCTTGTCTGGGCAGGCCCGCCTCCTCAGTATCTCTTGCACGTGGCCACCTCTTTCCTTCCACACTGCCACTTGCCTGGCTCAGGGCACCAGGACCACTCATGGGGCCCACAGCGTCTCCCAGAGACCTGCCCCCCACGTGTTCGCCCTAGAAACCATTCTGCCTTCAGCCACCCTTTCTAAATGTCTGCGGTTAACACCCTTCAGGGACTGCCCACTGGGAGCACCGAGGCCCTGCAATGGCCTGCGTGACTCTTCTCCAACTCCTCTCGCCTCCCCCACCTCTCCCTTCCCTTTTAATCTCCTGCTCAAGCCAATTTAGACAAGTTACAGTTTCCCGAACACTCCATGCTTTAGGACCGTCCCACATCCTTTTTTTTTTTTTTTTTTTGCTTCCTTCTGCCTGAACTGGTCTTTCTGGCCAGCTCCTACAGGCCCTCCAGTGTCCGCTGAAACTTGCTTCTCATGGAAAACCTTCCGCATGTCATGTTGGGGGCACATACCCTGACATGGCATCCTATATAATCCCATTAATTCGGCAAGTATTTATTGAGCACATACTCACTACATGTGCAGGTAGAAGGTGCCCCTCTGCCTCTAGGGTGCTCACATTCCTGTGAGGGGACAGACAGGGAGCAGGCAAGCAAACTGATAAATTACGAGATAGTTTCCAAGAAGGGTAAATGCTGTTAACAACATAAAACCAGTTAAGAAGAACAGAGAGCTGCTGGGGGTGGGAGGCAACATTGAGTAGAAGAGTAGGTGGATCTCTTTCAGGGTGCAAGCGAGCCAGCCAACGGCAGTTCTGGGGGAAGAGTGTTCCACAGGGAGGGAACAGGTTGGGCCAAGGTCCTGCGGGGGGTACAAGCCAGGAAGCCAGCGGTTGGAGCCCAGTGAGCAAGGGGAGGGTGGAAAGAGGTGAGGATCAACTAGGGCCTTGAAGCTGAGACAGGAGTTTGGATTTTTTTTTTTTAAGATGTTATTTATTTATTGACAGAGAGAGACACAGCGAGAGAGGGAACACAAGCAGGGGGAGTGGGAGAGGGAGAAGCAGGCTTCCCGCGGAGCAGGGAGCCCGATGCGGGGCTCCATCCCAGGACCCCAGATCATGACCTGAGCCGAAGGCAGACGCTTAACAACTGAGCCACCCCGGCGCCCCTGGATATATCTATCTATATTTTAAGCGCAATAGGAAGACACTGGAGGGGGTAAGCAGAGAAGTGATGTGATTTGTCTTAAAAAGATTGCTCTACAGCGATAATATTGGGCCAAATTCACAGAAACGCTGAAGCGGGGTTGTCGGAACATGGTCCCTGGACCAGCCAGCATCAGCCTCACCTGGAAATTGTTAGAAATGCAAATTCCTAGGCCCCTCCTCACACCTAGTGAGTCAGAAGCTGTGGGAGCAGAGGTTAAACCAATAAGGCTTCCAGGTGATTGTGATGCAGGCTGGTTTGAAGCCGCTGTTCTCTGGGACCCATGGCCAGGCCATGTAGATTATATGCCTGGGAAAAAATGATGGTTTGGGCCCATCTGGCTGAATAGGTAGACCACCCCTGAACCATCATCTAACTAGGCTGTGGGTCACCCCCACCCCACCCAAAACACAGCATCTTCACTCCCATCTCTCAGCCATTGTGGTTCTGGCCAGAGCCAGGGGGTGGCGCCAGCGCCTCAGGCTTTCGTCTGGATTCGGGAGCTAGAGACCCAGGAAGAATTGTCCCCCTCCCCTGCGCCTTCTCCCCACCCCACCCCCCGCCCTCCTGCCCCGCCCCCAGCCTCTGCTCCAAGGCCTGCCCACTGGCAAAGGCTTTGCAGGGTGGCTTTCATCAGGGAGGGGGGCGCTGAGGCTGGCACACCCAAGGTAGGGGCCAACCCCTTCTTCCTGGAGGTTAGGAAGGTGGGCTGGAGAAGCCCCCTTAGTCAGGAAGAAATTAGGGGTGTCTGGCCTGTGGGGCTTGGGGGCCAGGAGCCCAGGCAGGCGGCTCTGGTTCAGTTGCCTCTGGCTATACCCGTTTAACCCTCTGCCTATCCTGCCCAACCTCAGGTGAGGTCTCAGGTGCTCCTTCTCTGCCCATGGGCGGGGGCAGCCTGGAGGTACCCTGGGGCCCAGACAGAGCCCCAAGTTTGGGGGTCCTCACAGCCTAGCAGCCAAGCAAGCTAGGAACAGGGGCCCACGGCGGAGAGAATGCGTGGATGGAGCTCTTACCAGCTGCCAGCTTCACGTCTCCTGGGTTGGGGGCTCTCTGGGCCCCTGTCCTGCTTTGTGGTCAAGGGAGCCCAGCCTCCTGCCCAGAGGAGGAGCCCATGCCCTGCTCCTGGTCCTGGGTGCAGCTCAGCATATAGGAATCCAGGAGACCCGCCTGGGTTCCTTCCTAGCTCAGGTTCCAAGTCCCGTTCCAAGAGGACCCAGGGCCGTGTGCAGGCTTGGCCCCCATCGGCTCCCCTGCCCCTCATCTTTCCTCCTTGAGGGGAGGCTGAGACCCCTCGCCCAGCTGGAGTCACTCTGTCCATGCTGCTTGCTTTGGTCTCGGCTCCAGGGATCTGCCCACACCCCCTCATCTCCAGGGGTCCCACCCAACGCCCACGCCCACACCCACTCCAGAGGCCCACCCTCTGCCTCTTGGCCATGCCCGGGTCTCCCAGGACCCCAGATGGGGAGCTAGCCTCCTCTGAGGTTCTGCCTCAGTCCGCAGGAAGCTGCGGCTAGGCCAGCTGCTTTCCCCGGGCAGCCAGCTGTTTTGCCCATCAGGGAGCAGCCCTGGCTCCCCAGCTGAAACCGTGGCCGTGGCTGTGGCTGCAGCGTGGCAGCCTGGCTGGTCCGGGGCCTGCGGGCTGTTAACTCCTGTGGGCCCAGCTCCCTTCTCCATTGCCCCCCCGCCTCCGGAAGCAGCCTGGTGAGAGACTTCCAGAGACCCCAAGAAGACCGAGCCTTGCTATCCCCACCCCCCTCAACGACTGCTAACCAGACACCCCCTCCCCGCCACGGAGCCTTGTCCTCAGGTGACCCCAGGTAAGAAGGTTCAAAGGGCCAAATGAGAGCCCCATTCAGAATACTACTACTACTTCTACTAATAATAGCTATCATGAACCCCCTGCTGCGTGCCAGGCGCTGGGCTAAGGGCTTTAAATGTATTCTCTGACTTAATTTTCACAACGGTCCGTGAAGCAGGGAAGATTTTCATTTTACAGATGAGGAAACGGAGACGTGGCGAGTCTAAGCGGCTTGCCCAAGCCCGCACAGACCTGGGGTTTGAAACGGGGCTGCCCTGGCGGTTCCCTGAATCCGAGCCCTTGGTGGTGGTGTTATTTCAGCTCCCCGCCCCCAGCTCCTTGCCTCCCACCCCCAATGCCCCGCCCCCTCCCAGGGTCTGGGCACCGGTAAGGGCCATCTGTGGAATGGGATAGATAACTGATGGGTGGAGTTTACACCACCAGCGCCCTGGAGACATGCCAGGCTCTGTGCTCAATACCTTCCAAGAGTTTATTAGCAGATCCTTCCTGTCGGTGGCTGCGGGTCAGCCTGGGCTAGAATCCCGGCTTTGCTGTTTCCGGCAGCCCGGCTTTGGGCAACTGACTTGACATCCCAGTCTCAGTGTCCAAAGCTGGAAAATATTCTGCGCCCTTGATTTTGTTGTGAAAAGGATGAGATAAGGCAGGTGAGATGGTTGGCCCAGTACCCGACACGGGGGAGGGGGGGATATTACCCCTCTCTGTTAGGACTACTAACCGCAATCTGGAAGGGTCTGAGTGGCCCGCCCAGGCCTGTGCCCTCTCACGCCCAGCATGGAGCTGCCACACAGGAGGGCTCTGTCGCTCCTTGTAAATCAATGAACCCTGGTCTGTGGAACCTCCATGGGGACAGCAGGCTGCAAGAGGGATCCAACTTGCCCAAGATCACAATGACTGAGATAGAGCTGCGGGGATCCCAAGGCATCCAGCTCTTAACTCCTGCACCCCTGTGGCCTTCCCTCCTGAGGCAGGAACCTGGTCTGGTGGGAGAGGGAGGAGGGACAAGGGAACAGGGACAATCCCAGGGCTGAGACAGCCCAGAAGGTGACTGGGCCGCGGCTGGGTGGGATCTCAGGGTCTGGGAACGACCCCTCAGGATGCAGTGACCCGTGCTCTCCCCCTTTGTCCTCTCCCCCCTGCCCACCATGGGTCAGCTCCCTGGTCCCAGCCTAGACATCTGGAACTAGAGCAGACAAAGGACTGCGAAGGGGGACAATAACCTTCTGTCCATTTTCAGATGCCGGGCCGGGCCTGGCCAGGGCTGGGGGCCGGAGCCCCGGCGAGGCGGTGCCAGGCCCCCCGCGGGCAGCGGACAATGTTGGCAGTGATGGAGAGGAGGCATTTCAAAGCGTTTTGTTCCCGCTGACCCCCTCCCCTCCACATCTCGCCCGGCTCGGGGTGAGGCCCCAGCCCCACCCCCAGCCACCCAGGCCCCTGCTCCTGGCGGCTTGGGGACCGGCCACATTCTTGACCTCAGGGGAAAAGTTTAGACTCTTTGCGCGCTGGGCAACAATAACGGTGTCACAAAACTGATTTAGGAGCGGCACTTACCATCACAAAGCAGCAGACAAAGAGCCAGGGCTGAGAACGCGCTGGCCTATTGCGCCTACTCCTCCAAGCACCGCCACCACTTCTCTCCTTGGCCCCGGGCGGCCCTGCCTGGGCGGGACTGGGTGCCAGGACCCCGACCCTGCGCTCCCCAGAGGAGGGCCTGAACTGGGGAGGGAGCCAAGGAGAAGGGATGGGGATCCCATGGGGGACCAGGGGGCCTGAGAGCTGCTTCCTGCTCTGCTACCAATTTGCCACGTGACCCTGGACCAGTCCTTCCCCACTCTGGGCCTCAGTTTCCCTATCTGTAATAAGGAGGCTATAAACTAGAAGGCCGAAAGCATGAAGCTCTGATCTTGCAAGGAGAGGGATTTCCATGATGATGATGGCAATATGGTGATAGAAGTATTGTCCCCTTTGGTTCGGGGCACTTCACAGGTGCCAGGCACTGTGATCACTAACCCCTTTCTGGCCGTCACCTTTTTTTTTTTTTTTTAAAACTACAGAGACCACTCTGCACCATCCTCTCCCTCTTGCTCTCCCGAAGGAAGAGAAGGACAATTATGGATGACAAATGGCAGTTGCAGAAGCCACACCAAGAGCTGGCTTCACACTTGAGAGAGAATGCTGCATCTTCCTTGTGGTTTCTGAGGCTCTAGACGGTTCAGAGAAACTTCTCCAGTAACAAACTATAGAAATGATCCCTGAAAACTACACTCTTGTCATCCCCTTTGATCATTTCCTTCTCAGCAACCTCACAAAGCAGGTTGCATCATGAACTCCAGTTGACAGTTGATAACTGAGGCTCAGAGAAGTTGAGTCACTTGTCCAGGGCCACACAGCTTGGAGTCTGTGCAACCGAGACGCAAGACAGGGCTGGCTCACTTCTGATTACACTGCAGTGAGGAGAGAGGCAAGGAGGCAGCTGGACCCTGGGGAGTTCTGGGTGGGAGGGCCTCTCCTCCCGGCCAGAAGGCTATGAATAAATAAATGTCTGATTACCCCCAGGGGGAATTCCACCCTTGGAGCAGGTGCTTTTAAAAAACGAGATTGATTCTTGTCTGTGAACAGAGGTTGGCCCGGCAGACACACAGATGCAGGGGATTGGACCAAATGACCTCTAGCCGAGACCTCCTAGGCATTAGAAGCAGGCTGAAACATTTAAGGGCTGCTGGCTCTGGAGCCAGGCTATGGGTTCCAATCCTAGCTCTGATTTTTCCTGGTAGTAGGTCCATGGTGGACAAGTTCCTGCAACATTCTGTGCCTCAGTTTTCCCACCTGTAAAACTGAACGCACCTTGTAGGAGTGTGCTGACCATTCAGTGTACTACTTAGAAGGCCTTAGAACGGCGCCTGACTCTGTGAGGGCTGCCGGTTTCTATTTAGCAAGGTCCGTGCAGCCAAGTCCAACGGCCAGGACACCTCAAGGTGGGCACTGCTAGGACTTGGTGGCATGCAGTCAGCTGTTGACCTTCCTTCCCAGGAAATGGTTGTACTTTGATTACAGCATGCGGGTCTTATGGTCGGACACCAAGAGCAAAGGGGGCCCTGTTTTCTGGGACTTGTAAGGCAAAGACCAACCAAGCTTCCTGGGCAGTCAGAAGAGATTGTGGCAGGGGTTGGCCAGCCCTGGGCATGGTGCCCCGCCCAGGTCTCCGCGGCCAGGCCATGAGGACAGGAAGGGAAGGGGGCCCTGGGAGGTGCTGTTCGGAGTCTGCCCCTCTCCACCCCTTGAATCCAGAGGGTCCAAATTATACGTGGAAAGTGAAGGAGAGGTGGCCCAGCGTGGTGTCCACAGCGCCAACAGTATTACCCTCAGCCTCGTAAGGGAGCCCCGTGGGTCTGAGGCTCAGCTCTGCCAACTTGCTGTGTCGCCCAGGATGAGTTGCTGCCCCTCTCTGAGCTCATTCCAAGAGTCTTTTAGAATCCAAAGTGTTCAAAGGAGACCATCACAGGGGCCTCTGTGAGTCCACAAGTCTAGTAACAAAATTGGCTTGGAGCCCAGGAGTCCTGCTCCCCAGACTCCAGCCCCTGTTGTCTCCCCTCCACCTCGGACTTCACCTCCAGCTTCTCTAGCCATCCTTCCCTTTGGCTCCCCTCGCCCAAGTCCCAGCGACACATGCATCACAGACGGAGGCTGAGACAGTCCAATGGAAAATGTCCTGGATTCTTGGGGGTTGGGGGGTGGTCCCAGCCTCCCCCTCCCTCACCGTCTGGCTGTGGGGCCAGAGGAGAACTCACCTGGGCAGAGCATCTTGGGGTCCCCTCGGCCCGGGAGGCAGATGGCACTGCTGGGGCCGGCTCTGGCACAAGGTGACTTCCCCACCCAGTTCCCGCTGCTGGAAGGGCTGGTCAAGCAGGCCCTCAGGTGCCAGCCCGTCCTTCCCCTAGACACAAGGTTTCCTGGCAGGAAGGGCACTGGCTGGGGGTTGGGCAGTGGGGCAGGGAAAGATTCCGGTGAAGGTGTCTCCTAGAGGGCTTGTCCGCAGCCCCTAAACCCACCTTCTTTCTGGATGCTGTGGGCCAGGGGTCCAGGAAGCCAGGAGAGGGCTGATCCGGGAGAGGCTGAGATGAGCCCAGGCCCCTGCCCCATCCTGCCCGCCCCCCCTCCACCCCCAAACAGGGCCAGCAGGGCCCAGGCTGAGGTGTTTGCTTTTCCTGTCTCTACACTGACTCCATTCAGAGCGGACTTTCTCCACCCCCGGCCAACGGCCAGCAAGCCAGGGCACCAGGGAGAGAGATCACCGCCCCCACCCTCCCTCCTTTGCAACCCCCCCCAAATGCCATCTTCACTTCAGGGAAATGGCATCTCCCAGGACTTGCTAGTTTTCGAAGGGGGGCACTGCAGAAGTAGGGGGGCTGGGGAAGAAGGGGCCCACCCCAAAGGAGAAGAGGGAAAGAGGGAAACCGAATGGAGAAGTGGGTGGTGGGAAAAGAGGGACATGAGGTGAGGCCGGGAAAGAGAAGACGAGCAGGGGGCCGCGGAAGGGACTGGCAGACAACCAGAGAAAGGGGCTCCTACAGAGGTGGGGTGGGGAGGGGCACAGTATGGGAAGCCACAGGCAGAGACTGACCCAGGAGGCAGGGAGCGCCTTTGCAGGCTGGACAGGGCCTCACGCCTGGCTCTCTGCCGCCAAGGCTGGACAGGGCCTGAGGCCACCCCTGGGGCTGGGCGCTCTGGACTCCCACCTGAAATCCCTGGGACAGGCTGTGACCTGGTCTGGGGCCAGGGGAAGGAGGAGGGTGAAAAGTTTCCCCAAGTCCGAAGCCCACGGGGGAGGCATCTCAGGGGGTCCTGCTCTTTGCTCTCTCTGACTGTCACTTTGGTACATAAAGGGGGTAGAAAGGTCAGCTGCGGCCTTTCAGGTCTGTGGGAAAAACTCTGCCCACTTCCCTAATGCATATTTATTGGTGTGAGCCGCTGGGGTGGGAGGAAGCCCCCACCCCACCCGCCTCGCGGCCAGGCCAGGTTAGCACTAAGAACCGGCTCCATGTCACCGAAATCCTACTCTTTGTCTCCAGATTGGCTCCAGAGTCCTCCCCCTTCCCTCCTCCCCTTGGCTCCCCCCACCCCCCTTTGGGGTTGCCAAGCAACTGTGGAAGGGTAGCTGAGATATTTTCTTTATTACAAGTAAAAGCAAGACAGCATCATGGCCCCAGGAGGGGAGCAGGGTGGGGGCTGGGGAGAGGGCGTCCCATGCTCTGGGGGGAACCTCACTACCTTGGTGTGCTCTGGGCTTGGGCAGTGGGGAGACTCAGAGCCCCAGAGAAGGTGGAGAATGGAAGGGAGTGGTGGGGTGGGTGCGTGCACAGACATTGATCCAGTCTACATAATGCTGAAAGAAGCAGCGCCAAGGGACCCCTGGTGAGTCCCTCACCTGTCACCCACCAGCTCTATTTTCAGGCCAAGTCACTTGCTTCCTCTGGGTCTAAGTTTCCTCCTCGACAAAACGGGGATAATGACGTGTACTATTATCTCATTTAATGCTCGCGTCAAGCCCAAGAGACATTTATTTTTCCCATTTTACTGGTTAGGAAACTGACACTCAGAGACAGGAAGTGACTTGCCAAGCAGGCAGGTAAATGACGGTGAGACACTTCAGCCCCAGCTCCTTTTTTATTTATTTTATTTTTTCAAGTAAGCTCTGTGCCCAACGTGGGGCTCGAACTCACGACCCCAAGATCAAGAGTTGCGTGTTCTACCGACTGAGCCAGTCAGGCGCCCCGGCCCCAACTCTTTTTATAAAAAACATTTTTTATTTGAGTGTGGTTACGCACTGCGACATTAGTTTCAGGTGTACAACATGGTGATTCAACGTCTCCGTAGTTAGGCCATACCCACAAGTGCAGCTACCATCTGTCACCGTACACTATTACAGTATCGTAAACCGTGTCCCCTGTGCCGTGCCTTTTATTCCCACGACTTACTCATTCATAACTGGAGGCTCGTACCTCCCACACCCCTTCACCCATTTTGCCCATCCCCACCTCCCTCCCCTCTACCCAACTCTTTATTTTTATTTATTTTTTTAAAGATTTATTTTATTTTTTTTTTTTAAGATTTTATTTATTTATTTGAGAGAGAGAATGAGATAGAGAGCATGAGAGGGGGGAGAGTCAGAGAGAGAGGCAGACTCCCCGCCGAGCAGGGAGCCGGACGTGGGACTCGATCCCGGGACTCCAGGATCACGACCTGAGCCGAAGGCAGTCGCTCAACCAACTGAGCCACCCAGGCGCCCAAGATTTATTTATTTTTATTTTAGAAAGAGAAAGAGAGTGCGCGAGTGCAAGTGGGGGGAGGAACGGGGAGGGAGGGAGAATCTCAAGCAGACTCCCCTCTGAGTGTGGAGCCTCACGTGGGGCTCAATCTCAGGATGGATGAGATCACGACCTGAGCTGAAACCAAGAGTCAGACCCTCGAATGACTGAGCTGCCCAGGTGCCCCTACCCAACTCTTTTTTATTTATTTTTATTTTATTTTTTTAAAGATTTTATTTATTTATTTGAGAGAGAGAATGAGATAGAGAGAGAGAGCATGAGAGGAGGGAGGGTCAGAGGGAGAAGCAGACTCCCTGCCGAGGAGGGAGCCCGATGTGGGACTTGATCCTGGGACTCCAGGATCATGACCTGAGCCGAAGGCAGTCGCTTAACCAACTGAGCCACCCGGGCGCCCCTCTTTTTTATTTTTTTAAAGATTTTATTTTTTTGACAGAGAGAGAGAGCGCATGAGCGGGGAGGAGAGGGAAAGGGAGAACCAGACTCCCCGCTGAATAGGGAGCCCAACACGGGGCTCGGGGCTCGATCCCAGGACCCTGGGATCATGACCTGAGCCGAAGGCAACCGAGTAATCGAGTAACCAAATAGCCAACCGAGCCACCCAGGCGCCCCTACCCAACTCCTTTAGAGCAGCTTTACTAAGTGTCTTTACTAAGGTGTCTGCCTTCAGCTCAGGTCATGATCCTGGGGTCCTGGGATCGAGCCCCGTGTCAGGCTCCCTGCTCAGTGGGAGGCCTGCTTCTCCCTCTCCCGCTACTATTCTCTCTCTCTCTCTCTCTGTTAAATAAATAAATAAAATCTTTAAAAAAAAAATAGCAGCTTTACTGAGGTATAAATCACACACTATGCGATTGCCCTTTTAAAATGTACAATTTAATGGTTTTTAGTACGTTCACAGAGTTGTGCAATCACCACAATCAATTTCGAACACTTTCATCATCTCCAA